CTATCAATAGAATTTTTTGAAAGAATAATAAATTTATAAAATGAGAAACTTAAACAACTCCTTTTTACGATATGCTTATATAATAGTTTTCAGTATCCTAAACTTTGAAAAGACTCCACTAACTTATAATAAAGATTACCATAAAAAATTGATCTTTTATTAATAATTTTTACCTTACTTTTTTCTTAAATTTTATTGATTAATTAGCTAAAAAAGAAAAAAATTATAACAATATAACATAAAATTTCTTTTTATAGTAAGATCTACAAAAAATTTTATATATGATTTTTACCTTAAGTCTGAAGATGACCTATCTTATAAGTAAGTGAAGTCCTACTTTTAAAGTAACATAAAAAATGTAAAAGATTTCAAGGTGTATTAATAAACATACTTATTGGCCTTAATGCAAGTGTTTTATATCTGCCAATAATCTAATTTAATTATTGTTAGCATCTTATAAAAGTTGCTATGCATATAAGATAATTTAAGAATATGAGCATAGAAAGTTAATTATATATTATGATATATGAATTAGTTTGGATAAAGTATTAAATATAGAATTTCACTTCAAAAAATATAAAGGTAAATAAAAAAGGTACTTTTTGTCCATCTTAAATAGACTTAGAAATAGGCTACCACTGGTAAAAAAATGGTCTATCCTACACATATCCTACACACATATCTTACATATATCAGGTACTCAAAATGTAGAAAATCATACACAAATAATACACATATCATATACATATCGGGTACTTATATATATAGTATACCTATCAGGTACCTGATATATGTATGATATATATATTAGTACCAGATATATGTATGATATGTGTATTATTTGTGTATGATTTTCTACATTTTAAGTACCCAATATGTGTAAGATATGTGTAGGATAAATCATTTTTTTACCAGTGTACCAAAGCAAGATCCTAACTAGAAGTAAAACTAAGGTAAAAATCTCAATATATTGCAAAAGAAATAACTTAATATTCAGTTTAAGAAGGGAAAGTTTTATAAAAATAATATGTACAAAAAAAGCTTTAACGGTTATTATTTACTAATCCTTTTTTTAAAAAATTTTTTACTCTGACTTTTATTTTACTTTTTTTATTTTCTTGTTTTTATATCCTAAATTTTATGTTGCAATTACAGTAAGTCTTTGAATATTTACAGGAAAGAAAGGTTCTCCTCTAAAAAAGAACTTCTTCAAGAAGCATTTACTTTTCTAGTCCAGAATTCCAACTGACAGTACACATATGATTGTTCCATCATAAATTAATAAGTGATTTAATACTTATTAAATTAGTTTAAAAATTTTTTTATATATTATATGTATACATATTATGAATTTATTTTTTTTACTAATAAAATATTCAAATGTACTGCAGCCAAAAAAAAAAATATATATATAAAGTTAAAAATAGTATTCAAAATATATATATATTTTTTTTAAATACTTTGAATTTGAGGTTGCATCATGGTTTTTAATAATGATGTGATCGTTTAAGTGACAGGTCGACTTGTTCTTTATGAAAAGTAGTCTTGTTTTATAATGCTTAATTCTTATATGTATTTGTTTATCTTATATTTTGTAAGTTTATATATGTAAGTAAGCGTGATTATAATAGGACATGATCGCATCTATAATAAAGTATTAAAAAAAAAAAAAAAAATATTTTTTTAAATAAACTTGCAGATAAAACTCTAATCAATTCAATCCTAATTTGATAATCCAGACTGAAAATTCAAATTGGTTCAGTCTGAATTGATATTTTAATTAGATTAAAATATTTAGTTTAATCTAATCTAATTTTGGATTATAAATCTACTCTAAGGTTGTGAGCGAAATCCCATAGTAAATGCGAAACTTGACAAACCTATATTAAAATATTAATAAAAATTTGGTGAAACTTGACTATAAAATCATATGAAATGACAAAACTATAATAAATTTTTATAAAAAAATTGACGAAACTGAGGTTTAAACGTTTTGCCAAATTCAAAAACCAGTTTAGCCTGCAACCTTAATCTACTCAGAACTGAATTAAATGGGTTGAGACTAAACTGGATTGAATAATTATTTTTATAATAATTTTATATTAAAACTATTGTGATTGTTTAATTATTAAATATAAAAATATTGCAAAATATTTTTTTTAATATATTATTATAAAAAAAATATTTTTGCAACATTTCTATAATTAATATAATGAAGAAATATTGCAATTCATTTTTTTAAAGTAATTTTAATTAAAAAAACATTTTTGTAACATTTTTAATTAATTTAATGAAAAAACATGCAAATTATTTTTTCAAAATAATTTTAATTAAAAAAATGTTGCAAAATATTTTTTAAAGTAATTTTAATTAAAAAATGTTTTTGCAATATTATTTTAATTAATTTAACAAAAAAATGTTGTGAAATATTTTTTAAAGTAATTATAATTAAAAAATATGTTCACAATATTTTTTATTATAGGATTAGATAGACTGAACAAGATCAAATGCAAAATAACTGGTTTTGTCTGATCTGATTCTGAATTATTTTTTAACATAAACTGGATCATATCGAAATAAACCAATTTTTCAGTTCAGTCCTAAATTACTTCTTAACCAAACCAATCTAAACTATTTAGAATTTTATTTGCAAAGCAGGCTAAAATATGCTTATTTTATGGTTTTTAAATTTATATTAATCTTAATTTATGAAAAAATTAATCAAATTATATTATATTAAATTACATGATTCTACTCTTTAAACATTATCTATAATGGATCAATTATCTAATTAGCTATAATAAAAATAATTTGATAAACTGGATTATATGATTATTAGCCAATAAAATTTAAGTAGTAAATTTTAATTTTAGTTTGAATTATAAAAATCTTAATTTTAGCTGAAATTATATATTATTATATTCAATTAAAAATATTTTATATTAATTTTTATGACTTCTATAATTTAAAATTAAGATAAAAAAATTAAATTATAGTGATATATTAACATTAAAAATTCAATATAATAGATTTTTAATATGGAGATGTCCATAGCAAAAGGAAGGAATAGGCCAAAAAATTCAAATTTGAGATTTTATTATAATAAAAAAATATAGTTTTTTATTAATAATATAGGATATTGCTAAATATCACCAGTAGTGATTGTTACCATACCACTTAATTCTGGCTGAAAATTATAATTTTGGCCAGAGTTAAAAAACACATCGTAAATTTTTTTTCAAAAATTTCAATTTAAATAATAAATGTGTAAAACAAACCTGAGTAAATAATAATAACACTAAAATATAAAAAATTTGACTAAAAAAAATCTTTTTTAAAACAAAAAATTGTATTTTGCTTATAAAATCAAACTTTCCTATTTTTCTCAAAAACTATCTAAACAACAGCTTTTATAATCTAAGGCAAACTTGTTCTACCCATAAATTTACATATAGTAATAATATTTATATTATAATTAAAATAATATCTCAGTCAAAAATTTTTGAAAATTCAAAAAATATTTTATTTGTGATGACGATCACCACTGGTGATATTTAGCAATACCCAATAATATATTAGTAAAAAAAGTTTAATTTTGAAATTTTCTTATTATTTGCATTTTACTTTTATAGTATTAACAAGCAACATAAACTTATTAAAAGAAAATTAATACTCTTAGTAAATTGCCTGTAAAATTTAGTTTTAAATAAAAAAAAAGGTCCAAAAATCAATTTATTTCACAATTAAGTGATGATCTGCCAAATTTATCACGTGATTTATATTGCGATTTTTTTAAAATTACAGAATTATCTTTTTGCTATGGGCATCAGGACCCAGAAATATGTATAAAAGGGTCAGGTTTGAGTTTGCGTATTTTGAACTAAAAAAATCATGAAAATCTTTCCTTTTTTAGATTACTTTTGATAATTCCAGTCAGAATTTTATTTCCTATTATAGTAACCAACTGACATTATCATAATTCCGGCCCTGAAAAAATGCGTACAGCTCATAGTAAAAAATTTTTTTCATCACCTGACCCCTATATACATATTTCTGGGTCCTTGGGCATCCCTATATATCAAAATTTTTTCACTATACTGAATATTCCAATAAATTAGATATTTTTAGTGGAATTGATAAATCCAGTTTATCAAATTTCACTATGTATTTAGAAAACTATATAACTTTATTTGATTTCATTTATTTGTATATTTGATGTTTTTTCTATTATTTTTGAATTCATATAAATTTAAATAAATATAAAGGTACTATGTTATTTATATTTTTAAACTAGTTTAAATCAGGTCAAATATTATATCACATGTGAAAATGGAAATTTATAAATTTATCTGAAATGAGTAATATAAAATCACACTCACTAATTAATGATCGTGCAAAATGTCAAATATCAATAGGTCGGTGATTGGCTATTCATTGTTGATTATTTGTCGCGTTTAAAAAGTATTATTACGTCACCCGTTTGTAGTTTAGTTGATTATCTAGAAATAAGCTCGGTAATATAAAAAGACCAAATTTTCATAGTTTTATTGCCTTCAATCCAGTGCTTATTTGCGTCTTCTTTTACTTTCTACTTCAAATAGTTTATCTACTTCACAGAAAACGGGTAGTCTAGTAGCTAGTATATTTCGACCTTTATATAAAACACGCCTATCTGTTTACTGGAGCTTTTGCTGAGGTATTGAATTGAAACCTGTTATATGAGATTGGAATAATTTAGTAAATCTTACATTTAAAGTTTGCAAGCTGACTAACTTAAAGAAAAACTATTAACGAATTTACTTTTTTTGTATCTTAAAATAGACTCCATTATTTTTGTTGCTTATATGAACGGTTGAAAAATGTTGCCAAACGCAAACAGGAAGAAGCAGGTATATGACTTACCGGTAAAAAAGTTTTCAGTATAACGATAACAATTTTATTCATATACTTTTAAAATGTTGTAGGTGCAACCACGCAAAATTGCTCCGATGAGAGCTCCTATGGCTGCTCATCGTGATGAAAATGTTGTTGCAACAAAACAACTTGCTATCCGTGAAGGAGTTAATAATGTTACCGCGATTCCACAAAAAAAACTCGGTGTGGTAACGAGAAAACGCGCGGTGCTTATGGATCGTACAAATGTCTCACTTAAACAAAATTCAGTCAATGAGCAAACACATGATATCACAAAACCAATAATAAAAGAGAATGTAAATTTAGGTTTTCAAGATATAAGGTCTAAAGAGAAACATGAACTATCTTTTGATACTACACTTGCAACAACTGCGGAATCGGAAATATATGAATTTGATCGAAAGCGCTCTAAAAAACAAAAGACTCAAGACTGGGAGGACTTAGATGCAGATGATTTCTACGATCCTATGATGATTTCTGAATATGCTGTGGATATCTTTAAATATTTAAAGGATTTAGAGGTATTTTAATGAAGAAATTGATTGTATTATTAATCTATAAATTATTTAAATTATTTAAATTATTTAAATTATTTATATTAGAGTGAAATAATGCCTAAACCTGATTATATGTCATCTCAATCCGAACTAAGTTGGAGAATGCGAGGAATTCTTGTCGATTGGTTGATCGAAGTTCATCATAAGTTTCGCCTACTTCCTGAAACATTGTTTTTAGCGGTAAACATCATTGATCGCTTCCTTTCAGTCCGTGTTGTTTCCCTAGTCAAACTTCAGTTAGTTGGAATTACTGGGTTATTTATTGCGGCAAAATATGAAGAACTATTGGCTCCGTCGATAAAAAATTTCATTTACATGGCTGATAACGGATACACGGAAGAAGAAATTCTCAAAGCAGAACGATATGTTCTTACGACTATCGATTTCAAATTGTGTTACCCAAATCCCATGAACTTTCTTCGACGATCCTCCAAAGCTGATCATTTTGACATTCAAGCACGTACTGTTGCTAAATATCTTATGGAGATATCACTTGTTGACTATAAGTTTTTACCATTACCGCCCTCAATGATTGCTGCAGCCGCTTTGTATCTTTCTAGGAAAATGCTTAACCGTAGTGAATGGGTATTTAAGTCATTATTATGTATCAACATTTGATAATGTATCATGAACTAAAATTATTCTTTTTTTTCAGCATGCCAACTTGATCCATTACTCGCAATATACTGAAGAAGAGCTTCAACAATGTGAGCAATTAATGCTTCAATATTTAATGAAACCCACAAAACATGAGCAATTATATAAAAAATACGCCGCGAAAAGATTTATGAAAGCTAGCATATTTGTCAAAGATTGGATATCTAAAAACGTAGAAAGGCAGCAATAATATGCAAAATTGTTGTCTACGTCACAAATGATGTAATATTGTAACATTTTATTACTAATAAAATAGTACGGGCTTTATAGCGGATTTACTGTTTTTTAAATTAAATAGAAAACAGAAATGAAAGTATATATAATTGACTTATATCCCCAATAAAGAATTTTTTTATAATAAATTATAAAAAACAATGGGTAATGGTCATCGTAAAAAACCTTTTAGTGGAAAACAAAAGAAGAAGCAGTTACAAGCAAAACGCGAAAAAAATCTTTCTATAAAGGAGGAGGGTGCGTTTAAATGGGTTTAATTTTTTTTTTTAATATCGACTTAACAGGTGTTCAGTACAATAGAATATTTTTTTGACAATAATAAAGGATTATACCATAGTGTATTTTTTGACAAAATAAAGAATTTTACCATACTGTATTTTTTTCTGACAAAAATAAAGAAAAGCCATGTTGTTTATCTCAATTAAAACGGTTAGTATCTACAATGGTTAAAATGTTTAATATTTTGCATAATTTTTATAATTTAAAAAGATTCAGACGAAGAAATTGAAGCGGATAAGCATGTCGTGAGGAAACATGCTGACGAGAGAAAGTATGCTGAAAATGGAGAAAGTTTATTAAAAAAAGAACAGTTTAATAATAAGGATGATAATATCACTCTCCCTTCTACACAAAAGTTGCTTGGATCAAGTAAAAGGTAGGGATTTTTTTTTGTTAAATTTGAAAGGAAACTTATAAAATTTCATTTTGATTCTAGTAGGTTACATTCGGTCTTTGAAAAATCATCACCACGAGAGATAAGAGCTCAACGTAAAGCGAGCATGAAAGCTTTCACTCGTTTACCTTCAGTACGAATCAATGATTTGTAAATGTATTTCAAGTTGATCGAAAATTTATATATATTCCTATTTTAAAGACTGCATTAGAAGTTTCTGTTAATGATATTTATACAACCGTAATTGACTTTCCAAAACGACCGTCTTGGCATTATGGAATGACAAAAGAAGAATTAGAATCTAATGAAGAACATTACTTTCGGCAATGGCTAGATGATGTTTATAACAAATATCCGAGAGAGGAATTAAGTTTTTTTGAACATAATCTTGATGTAATTATCGTATCAATCTTGTAATTATTCATTTTATTTTTGTCAATTTCTCATTAATTTTTACCTTCATAGGTCTGGCGTCAATTGTAACACTGTTTACACATATCTTTATTATTTTTTTTGCGTCTCTTTAAATAACAATATTCTTTCTTAGATGGCGTGTCCTTGAAATTTCAGACATTATATTGATTGTAGTAGATATCAGGCATCCTCTGTTACATTTTCCACCTTCATTATATAATTATGTTGTTAAAGATATGAAGCGGAAGATGGTTCTTGTATTCAATAAGGTTTGAATTATTGTATAACTTTTCCGATTTCATTCTAAATATTTATTAATTAATAATTAACATTTTTAATTTGATCTTTTGTAGGTTGATTTAGTTGCAGAACATACAGTATATTCATGGACTAAATATTTTGAAGAACAGTTTCCTGAAATTAGCATTGTTGAGTTTAGCTGTTATCCCAGGGATAATAGATTTGTTGATGATACTTCCACAGGTTTTTATTGTCTGTGAAATTTATACATTTATGAAATTATCAATATAAATAATTATTCTGTAATATCAGCATTTTTGCAGAAAAGAACAAAACGTCCAAAGAAGAGACGCTATCAAGCTTTAGGAATTAAAGAATTGCTATTAGCATGTAAAAATACAAATTTAGTCAAACAAGATGTAGAAGTGAATTGGACAGAATTGATTGAACAGTATAATCGAAATGCAACAGTTTGTGACAATCTAGATGATATTACAGAGGAGGAGGTGGAAAAAATAGATGCAATTCAGGAGGAATCATCATCTGATGTTGAATCTCTGGATGCAGAAGAAAACATTAAACAAATTGGTGATTAATTTAACATTTTATATTGTAATAAAAAGATTTCTTTTTTTTGATTCATTTACTTTTTATTTTTTTTTATTTATTATCAAAGAAAATCAATTGAAAGTAGTAAATATCAACAATATAGAAACATCACCTCATAAAACACTAATTACAATAGGACTTGTAGGTATGTATACTACATTCATTAGCTATCAGTTACCTAAACATGTATAATTAAAAATAATAAAATATTATTGTCTTATTACTAATTGATAGGACATCCTAATGTTGGAAAAAGTAGCCTTATAAACAGTATATTTGGAAAAGTAGTTGTAAGCACTTCTAGAACTCCAGGTCTGATATTTACAAAATTATATATATATATATGTATATTATACATTATTACATCAAAATCTATTAATTTTATAGGACATACAAACCATTTTCAGACAATTCATTTATCAAAAAATATTCGTCTTTGTGATTCTCCAGGATTAGTTTTTCCAAGTCTTTTATTAAAGCAATTACAGGTTTTTTATATTTTTTTAAAAAAATTGATTATTTATAATTAAATAAAAATTTATATTTTGAAATTTTTTAGATTTTATTAGGAATGTATCCAATTGCACAAGTTCAAGAACCTTATAGTTCTATACAATATATGGTATGTATAACTAAAAAATATCTTTATTTATAATATTAATTATAGAATTTAAATATTATTATAGGCTGAAAGAATTCCTTTAGAATCAATACTTAAACTAAAAACTTTAGAAAATAATGAATGGTCTGCCTGGAATATATGTGAAGGTAATAAATTTTTAAATAAAGCAATTTATTATTTTTATTAATATACAATTAATTAAAAATTTTTATATAATAGCTTTTGCAATTAAACAAAAATATTATACAAAAGCTTCAAGACCAGATGTTTATCGGGCAGCTAATGCTATTTTACGTTTAGTTAATGATGGTCGTATTTTACTTTCTTTTAAACCACCAGAATTTTTTACAAGTTTAAAATATTTAATTGCACAAAAAAATGAAATTGATTTACAGATAAAAGTTGAATCTAAAAAAATGGGAATAAATACTAAAAAAACTGATAAAAAAGAAATTTTTGAAGAATTAAATAGTCAATCTAAACAGCAATTGGGTGGTTATTTTGAATTATTAATAAATTATAATGATGATAAAAATTAATTATATAGGTTTTTAAAATTAATAATAAATTTATAAATTAATTTTATATTAGAAGTTAATTTAAAATTAATTTATTTAAATTTATATAAATATTTATTAAGATGTAAAATTTTAGTAAAATTTAATAAAGTAAATTTTATTTTGATTACATATAATACATTAAAATTTTCAATATTTTATAATAAAATTCACTAAAAAAAAATTTTACTTTAATTTATATAATATATATATAAACTAATTTTTAAAGATTTTTTTTAGTTTTTTTTAAAATTATATAATAAAGGTAAATTTATCTGGAATAATTTTTATCTTTAATAAAAGTTACTTCTAATAAGCATTAAATTTACTTTAAATTTATAAAATTTATAAATTTATAAATATATCAGTCATTAATATAAATAATTAAAAATTCTATTAAATTATAATACTTACTTATTAGCAACAATATAACTAATTTTATTTTGGATTTATTTTATCAATTCTGAAAGGAAATATATAAAAAAAAAATCAGTATAATTTAAATCAATAAATATAATATCACTTATTTTTATTTTACTTTTATTTTTATTTGTATTTTGATGATTACATCTTATTGAATAAATATAGCTCATGATAATTTGTTTATATGGTATATAAATTTAAGAAAATTTCAAAGTTTACACATGATGTTTAAACACGGATCATGTGAAATATAATAACACCAATATCACACCCTTTTACTTTTTTTATATAATATATGTATTTTTGACTGCTCTGCAAGTTTACTTAAGGCATTAAAGGGGGTTTTGAATGTCGTTTTTGACTTATATATGAAAACTGTCTTTGTCAATCATTTCCTAAATTTTTTTAAGAGCGATTAGCAAAATCACTTATTCATAGGTAAAGTCAAAACTGACATTTTAAAGCACCTTTAATGCCTTAGGTAAACTTGTAGAGCAGGCAAAAATCCATTTATTTACTAATTTTAAAGTTAATACTATTAGTCAAAATGGCAATAATCACATGACCCAGATTCAAACACCTGTGTATAAATAGAAATTGCCTAAACTTAATATTAATAAAGTATATATAGATCATTAAAATATATATACAATATATATAACTTAGTTATAATGATTAAAATTGATGAAATTCAAATCACTACTACTTATTCAAAAAAAAATGATAAATGTAAAGTATAACTATACAATAAAAAAACATTAAAACAGAATAGACTTAACAAAATTATAGTTATAAAATGTTTTTTAATAAAGTAATAGCAATTCAAAATTAAAATATTTTACTATTAAATTAAATATTTGGTCACTTTACTTTGACCAAAATTATATGTAAATCTGGCCAAAATTACTTTTAGTTATATAAATCTAGCTAAAATTATATTTAAGTCTAGCTAAAATTACAAATTATAATTTAAACTATATAAATCTAGCCAATAAAATTGCAAATTTAATGTATCATATGATATACAGTCAACTCTCTTTATAGTCATCCATTTGGAACAGTCCATATTTGATGATTATAAAGAGATGTGACTATATAAAAAATTTCTTATATTAGTATATCATAATTCCGGCCAAAAATTAACATAATTTTGGCCAAAATTATACTCAAAACTTTATTGTATTGTAACTCTGCCAATATTAGTCATAGAAAGATAATCTTACCACCATTTGATTCGTCTTGATGAGTCAGTTCTAATGATATAAAATACATCGAAATCTGATCACTAGATTAATTTTCAAAATTAAAAAAATATTAATGGTTTTTGTGTAATAACTTTGCCAATATTGATCCTAAAGAGATGATCTTACTACCATTCGATTCGTCTTAATGCAACGAATCTAATGGTATAAAATACATCAAAATCTAATCACTAAATCAATTTCCAAAATTAAAAAATATTAAATGGTTTTTAAGTAGTAACTCCTTCAATATTGATCACAGAGAGATGAGCTTACTGCCATTTGATTTATTTTGATGAGGCAATTTCAACGAGCTATTAATCGTCTTTTTACAATCACTAGGTACTGAGAAATTTAGAAAAATGTTAAATAGCGTAGTAAACGTAAATCAAGAAATATAATAATGCCGATGCTTAACATTTTGTTGAATAACTTATTAACCAATGATCGTAAAAGAATAAAACTACAAAAAAAACTCTCTCCCGTTACCCTCATGACAGTATTTTGTTGGAAAAAATATTTTTATTTTTCTGGGTTTTTCTCTTCTCTTTTTATCCTTCCTTAGGCTTTTAGCCTTCAGAACTTGCCCAGAATTATTTTAATATTACTTTTACTTTATTTTTCTCCTTTTTGAGAACCTTTCTCTTATATTTTTTACTATTTTCTTTGGTCCACTTTCTTTATGGGATGTTAGAAAGAAAAATTCTCTTGTCCCCGTTCCAAACGAAAAACTAGTAATTTAACCTTACCTTCTTTCTCCCCTTCTATTGCCCATGATGAAAAATGGTGCAAACTCGCTGACAAGTTAATGGACTCACACCTTGCTTATATCAAGTTGCCTTTAATTCATAGATGGCAAAGTGTAATTGCTCATGAAAAAAATTTGAAGGATTTTGAATTCTCATATATCCCCTTCTACCCTTCTGATAATAAAGTTCTTACTACTTATCGTCTTGTATTAGCAGACTCTTCTCGTTGTCTCAAACTTTTTCTTTCACATGACCAAGAATATTTGAAATTTGTGGATTCTTGGTGTAACCCTTCTGAAAAATTGATATTGAAAGATTTGCCTGATTTTCACCTTATTTATCCAGGATTTTTCAGAAATTCTTTATCTTCTGAATTTACGCCTCCTGCAGTTGCTCCTATATTTACGCTTAATGATCATCAAGATGACTCTTCTAATATGGCGTTAGATCCTGTTTTTCAATCTGTAATACAAGACCCTGCTTTTTAACGGATTTGTCCTATAGGACCTGATCTATATACCTTTGGCTCTGATGATGAAATGGACGAATTTCTTTTTCCTGACCAACATACAAAAAGTTTTTAGAAAAATTCTGAAAATCTTCTGAAAAATACTGAAATCTGCAGTAAAATGTCTGAAATCATTCAAGATTTAAAAAATTTACTGGATTTTTCAAAAACCTTTCAGAAAATCTGGCAAAATTTGAATAGATTTCGTACGCTGTTCCTGACTATTTGATTCAACTTACTCCAATTGATTATGAGAATAATGCTACCCGGTTTCACTTTTCTTGCACATTTAAATATGATGATAATGATGATGACCTCTCTGCTTATGTTCCTCCTGCTTCAATTAGCATTACTCAGCTGATGTCAGATACTGGGCTTTCTATTGCTGCAGCTACTCGTCTTATTGCTAAGCTCCCTGCTTTACATGCCGCTGCTAAAGCTAAGTATACTCTACCTATTGTTACCCCTCCTAGACAGGTCGATTCTTTTATAGATTTTGATGAACTTCTCTCAGTTTACGACATTCCTCTTCTGCTGTGTACTTTTAACGCATCTATGTTGAATGATGATTCTGATGATGAATCATATGATTCTGATAATGACTCGTTTTTCTCTTTTTCATCTTTTGATAACTCTTCTTTTATAAGTCCTCTCTCAGAATCTATTGTTTTTCTTCTGATCGCTTTTCCTCTATTTTGCTTTGATATTGATCCTTTGGTGGCAGTTTCTACTATAATGTTTTCAAATGATATTTCTAAATATAAACCCTTTTCTATCAGCTCTTTTTTTGATTTTTCAAAATTTGAATGTTGTCATAAATGGAAAATTTATCATTTTTCTCTTCTTCCTGTCATGATATTTATCAGTTAGATCAGATATTTTTCACTTGTTCTATCTAGTTTTGGTCTTACTTAAGAATTATAGATGATCTTCTTAAGCTGACCTTTTCTTGTTCGATTAATAGGTTTATTAACCTATTTTCCTCTTGGCCTGGTTAGATTACTTTTTTTGTTTTGTTTGTTTAGGTCGTTTGTTCACTTTATAGTTGTGTAGTTATTTAAGGCATGTGATGTTTCTTAATTTGCCATCCCCTTCTATATGATCTATAATTTTATTTTATAGTTCTCTTTTCTTTATTATTTTGCTTTATTTACAACTATTTTGTTTTCTTTTTGCACCTTTTCGTTAAGAATTTTCTGTAGGTAATCTTTTTCTGGTTCTTCTAACCTTTTTGTAGTTTTTGCTTTTATTACCTTTTATTGGTTTAGTTTTCTTTTTATAAGAAACTATTTAGTCGCCTCACAGTGATTTTATATTAATCTAGAGGATGTAGTGCCTTTATTAATAATTGTTTATAGTTTTTTTTGAGCTTTAACTTTCATTTTATTTTGTACTATGAGATTATTCTTTGTTTCTTTATTTGTTTTTTTTGAATTTATATTTCTTTTTAATTTGTATATTTCTATAAAAATAAATAAAAAACAGCATAAAGACCTTTTGTACAGTAAAAGGATAAAACTACTACCATTTGATTTGTCTCAGTAAGATGATTCTAACAAGCTATGGTACATCTTTGTATGATTATTAGATGCCAAGTTATTTAATATATTCTTTATATAACTGTGATTATAAACAGTTCTTTTTAATATAAGATTTTTGAGGATAGGTGTGATAGTGACTATAGATAGATTGTGACTATATAGGATAGATTTTAATAATAAAGTGTTTTGAACATTCAACTGGTGTAACTATATAGTAGAATGTGACTATAATTGAAGTGACTATAGAGAGAGTTGACTGTAATTTGATATTTAAAAAGTTGTATGCACTGTATATATATAATACTTACTTATTTAATAATATAAATTTGTATAATATTAAAAATATAATTTATAAATTTAGTTATACTGTAATAAATAAGCTGACTGTCATCTATAAATTATGGTTTCATAATTTGGCTTTTTCTGTTTTATAATTCATAGTTAATTTATTAAAAAAAAAATTAAAAAATTTAGAATTTTTAATTTTTTTTTTTTCAAATATTGGTTAGAACTTTTATTAAACTTTATTAAGTTATATTCAATTACAAAAAATTTTGAAGACCTTCTACTTTTACTTTGCAATAAAAATAATAAAAATGTTTAGGTATACTAATATTAAATGATACCAAATAAATTAAAGAAATAAAACGAAAAAATAAAAATAAAAATAAAGTAAAAAATAAAAAAGAAATAATCAGTAATAAAGCCTTTTACTAATAACTACATCTTAAAATTAAGATAATCTAAACATTTTGTTGAACTTATTAAAATACTCCTAATTTTCTTAATATTAATCTAATTTCAGCTAAAACTATTAGTTTGTTAATATTATTCAAGATTTATTTATCTTCATAATTTATTTAATTACTTTTTACTTTTTACTTAATTGCATTATATTAGTAGTATTTTGAGAAATCTTGAAGTTATCATCTTGCTTTATTTTTTAATTGTGAAATATAATATATATAATATCTTTTTCAATTATCAGTAAATTTATCTAAGCTAAATATCTTACCAATAACTTTATCTAAACTAGTTTATAACTTATAGTAATTATAAGCTTATGAATACCAGAATTCTGAACATTACTAAAGCAATAGGAGCCTGAACAATACTGATACAACTCACATTTGAGTTTGTGTAGAGTTTATATTAAAATTTTTCAAAAGTTGCGTATTACAGAGATATTTTAAAATTTTGTTATCCTACATATTTCTGTTTTTAACACAATTAGTGATTTGATTTTAATAAAATTTATATCATTAAATTCGTCTCGATAAGAGGATTCTAATTATAGTAAAATTGAATGTTTAGCTTCAATATTGACAGTATTATATCATAAAATGTATTTTTATTTCAGTATTTAAAGTTTACTTGTGAGTTATATTAGTATTATTTGGGTCTTAAAGCAACTCAGATTTTATATAACTAAAATTTTAAAATGTTATATTTCAGTAAATATTACACCTAAAAAGATGAACTATATATCAAAATATTTGTCTTGTTAAAATAAATTTAATAAACTAAAGATCTAATTACTAAATTCTGAAATAGTAAAATTTGAAGCTAAAATCTACATATAATTTTATACATTTGAAACAAAAATTAATTATAAGGTTTATACAAATTCAAATCTGAGTTTTTTTAGTGATGTTTAGGATTCTTAAATTATATATAAAGTCAAAATTAAAACCCAAAAGTTGAAATATTTTAACTTGAGGAGGTCAAAAGTCAAAATTAAAGTCAAAATAGTCAAAATTATATTATACAGTCAACTTTTAATATAATGAAATGATTGTTCAGATTAGTGTTCTGCATGGATCGAATTAGACTGAATTAGGATAGATTTGGAATTTGGTTCGATCAAATCGAATCTGAAAATTTGAATTCAGATCTGAGACAAATCAGTTCAAATCCGATTCGAGATTTGATTCGAATTTGATTTGATTTGATTTAGATTTGATCTGATTCAAATCCAAATCAAATCAAATCAAATCAAATCTTGAATCATTTGAACAGATTCGTAATTTGATTTGATTCGATTTGGATTTGATTTTGATTTAAAATTCAATTTTATTCGGTTTGAAAATTTGATTCGAATCTGAATTTGATTTGAAATTTGATTCAATTCAGTTTGAAAATTTGATTTGAATTTGTTCAAATTTAATAATTTAATTTATTATTTATATTAAAAATTTACAAGGATGGTTAGCAATACTTATTAAAAAATATTTATTTTTTATTTGCAATATTAATTGTTATTAATGTTATATTATATTAATTATAAAATTAAAAAAAAAACTAATTATTTGAATTTCAAATAAATCGCAATGGCAAATACTAATAATTGTTAAAATAAAAAATTAAAAATTAGTTAGTTAAAATTTCTACAACGATCCTAATATTATTAAAATTAAAATTAATTATTCAAATAAATCACTTAATGAATTCGAAAACTATGATTTTAAGCATATGCAGGATCTTATAGTTTTTCTTTCCAATTTGTTACACTTATCAGTAATTAAATTTTTACTGATTGAAAAACATTCTTCTAAAGGAACGCTAGTAGAAGGTATAGCTAAATAATCCATCGCCATCTTAGCAAGTCTAGGAAACTGGGTTTGGTTTACTTTCCACTATTGAAGTGGATCAACGCTTTTATCACAAACTGGTGATAAAAGGTATACTTGAAATTTATCAATCTCTTGAGTATATTTTCATTTAAATATTTTTGATGTAATTGAATTTTTATATTCATTATTCAAAGAATTGCTTAAAGTTGAACTTGAGTTTGGATTAGAATAAGTAGAATTATAAACATTTAAAAATCTAAAAATTAATATTTAAATATTGTTAGTATATATATAATATTATAAATTATAACTAAAAATAAATTTTAAAATATTAAAAATATTAACTTTTCGTGAATTTTCTTCCTCTGATCATCATTCCATGTCTCGTCATTATAGTACTTCATTTTAAGCCTTGGATCTAAAATTGTTACAATAACATACGCATCATTCGTCTTGTTATAGTATTGGAGTAATTTTTCCCAGCTATTTGTAGCTGCTTTTTTAATAATTGATTCTTTATCTACACTTCCATTTTCATCATCACCTTCGTTTTCATCTTCATTTTCATTTACATTTTCATCTTCAAATATATAATCTTCCATATGATCAATTAAAGCATTATATAAAGGAATGAGCATTGAAAGTGTAGGATAAGATGAACCGGACATTAATACTGTTATTTCTTTAAATTTTTCAAGAAATAATTTAACTTTCTCAAGTTCAGTTCATTTATCATCCATAATAACGAAATTTTTAAGATCTTTTTCAGAAAGTGCAAGGGAATTAAGCGCCTAGTAAAATTTTATAAATTAATAAATATTAATTAATAATAAATAAAGTTATATAATTTTACTTCTTTTAAATATAAAGTTCTATTGATCATACACTGGTTGAAATCATTTCTTTCGGCATTAATACCTTTCGTCAAAAGTTAGTCATCATCATCATGTGATTCATTACACAATCGGCTAATTACAAAATTCGGAAATATTTCGGCATAAATCAACTGGTCGATTTTTGATTAATTTTTGATTGAGTTGTAATATAAAAAAAAACCATAAATCGACCAGTACTTTTTTTTTATCGATTTTTTTATTAACGACACGATCGACTTGGAATATTTGGCCTTAATACAAATTGGCCTATATTCGATGATCTACGATTGAATTATGTTAATAATTAAATGTTACACGTTACGTGATATGCGTATTAAAAGTTTAAAAAAGATTTATCTTATGCATCCTTTTTTAAACTTTTTTAATTTCTTCCTTTCCCTTCCCTTCTTTCCCTTTCCCCCTTTTCTCTCCTTTCCTTTCCTTCTCTTCCTTCCCCTTTCCCCTTTCTCCTTTCACTTTCTTTCGTCCCTTTTTTTTAATTAAAATATGAACGGTTAAAACTAACCGTTCTTTTTTACTTTTTTTTTAGTTTCAGCACTCGGGTGGACTTCTGAAGTACAGAAATCCAAAGATTCGTAAGTACGAATTCTTTGGATTTTTTTTTATTTTTTTTTAATAAAATATGAACGGTTAATACTAATGATAACCGTTCTATTTTACTTTTTTTTTTAGGTTCGACTCTTGGGTGATTTCCGAAGAATGGAAATCCAAAGAATTCGTAAGTACGAATTCTTTAAATTTTTTTTTTTGTTTTTTTTTAATAAAATATGCACTCGGGTGGGCTTCTGAAGATTGGAAATCCAAAGAATTCGTAAGTACGAATTCTTTAAATTTTTTTTTTGTTTTTTTTTAATAAAATATGAACGGTTAATACTAATAACCGTTCTTTTTTACTTTTTTTTTAGGTTCGGCACTCGGGTGGGCTTCCAAAGTACAAGAAATCCAAAGATTCGTAAGTACAAATTCTTTGGATTTTTTTTTATTTTTTTTTAATAAAATATGAACGGTTAATACTAACCGTTCTTTTTTACTTTTTTTTAGGTTCAGCACTCAGGTGGGCTTCCGAAGATTGGAAATCCAAAGAATTCGTAAGTTCTTTGGATTTTTTTTATTTTTTTTAATAAAATATGAACGGTTAATACTAACCGTTCTTTTTTACTTTTTTTTTAGGTTCGGCACTGGGGTGACTTCCGAAGAATGGAAAAAACCAAGTTTCATAAGTTCAAAACTTGGTTATTTTTTTTTTTTGTTTAATTTTTAATATTATGAACGGTTATTAACCGTTCTTTTTCATTTATTTTTTATAGGTTCAGTGTCAGGAGGGGCTTCCGAGTTCCGAAGAATGAAAAAAACCAAGATTCGTAAGTATATTATATACGAATCTTAGTTTTTTATTTTGTTTTTTTTAATTATATTAACGAACGGTTACTAATAACTGTTCATTCTTTTTTTTAGGTTCAGTGGACTTCCAAATTCCGAAGATCGGAANATCAGAAAAGAACCAAGATTCGTAAGTATATACGAATCTTGGTTTATTTTTTTGTTTATTTTTTTTAATTTTATTAATGAACGGTTACTAATAACCGTTCTTTTTTTTAAAAAATATTTTTTAAAATTTTTTTTTCTTCTATTTTGTAGGTTTGGCCTTCAGTTCTTGGGTGTTGAATATACGGGTGAGTTTCGGAGTAAAAACTTCAAAACTTTTTTTAAATAAAATTATTTTTTTTAATTTTTTTTCTTCTATTTTGTAGGTTTAGGATTTTAGTTATTGGACGTTGAATATATTATATGTAAGTTTCGATCAGAATGAAAGAATCGAAACTTTTAAAAAAAAATATTTTTTAATTGTTTCTTTTTTCTTTTTTGTAGGTTTTGACTTTCGGTTCTTGGGCTTTGGATATGTGGATAAGTTTTGAAGAAACTTCGAAACTTAATTTAAAAAAAAATATTTTTTAATTTTATTTTTGATTATTTTTCTATTTTGTAGGTTTCAACTTTCGGTTCTTGGGCTTTGGATATATGGGTAAGTTTGAAGTGAAACTTCGAAACTTATTTTAAAAAAGGATTTTTTTTTAAATTTTATTTTAATTTTTTTTCTATTTTGTAGGTTTTGGCTTTTGGTTGGGCTTTGGATATATGGGTAAGTTTCCACTTCAGATTTTTGGTTGGATAAGTTTCGAAATATTTTGAAACTTAAATTTTTTTTTATTAAAGAATCGGTTTACTAACCGTTTCTTTATTTTTTTTTGTTAGGTTTCTCTTTCGGACTTTTGTCAGATAGCTGAGTGAGTTGTAGATAATTTTGGATGAGTAGATGATGGTGGATGATGGTGGATGATGGTGAACGATGGATGGTGAATGATGGGTAGTGGACAATGGATGTGGACGATAGTTAATAATGGTTGACGATGGTTGACGATGGTAAATGGTAAATGGTGGATGGTAGATGGTAGGTGTAAATAGACAGATACTGTAGATATTAGAAATTTAATTTTTAATAAAGCGAAATAGTAAAATATAATTAATTGATTGCTATTACAAAATTAAAAATAAGCTAAATACATAAAAATCGTTAATAATTAGACAAAATTAGACTCAATTTCGTCTAACATTCGGCAATTTGAAATTTAGACGAATGTCTAGTAAAGGTTGACGAATAGTTTATTTCCAATTTTTTAATGAATTTTTGCCGAATTGTGATTGCCAAGTGGCAGGCGAACTGTGCAAATCGTCCATTTTAATTTTGACGATTTTTTTGGCAATGATCAGCCAAAATTAGACCAACTTTCGTCCAACATTCGTCAATTTAAAATTTGGACGAAATGGACTATTTTGACCAGTGTTAGTACGTTTCTTCAAAGTAAATTCCAAAAAAACCCACCCTCACACACTTACCCAATATCCCAAATAATCTAAGAATCCGAAATCTACAATTGTAAAGAATAAAAAAAGAAACATTAGTACGTTTCTTCAAAGTAAATTCTGAAAAAATCCACCCCACACACTTACAAAGACCCTGGGAAGACAAAATTTACAAAAAAAGAATAAAAAGAAATGTTAGTACGTTTTTTCAAAGTAAATTCCGAAAGAACTCATACACATTTACCAATATCCCAAATAATTCAGGAAGCCGAAATCTACAATAAAGAATAAAAAAAAAATGTTAGTACATTTCTTCAAAGTAAATTCTGAAAAAACCCACCCCCACACACTTACAAAGAACCCGGGAAGATGAAATCTACAAAAAAAGAATAAAAAGAAACGTTAGTACATTTCTTCAAAGTAAATTCTGAAAAAACCCACCCCCACATACTTACAAAAAATCCGGGAAGATGAAATCTACAAAAAAAAATAAAAAAAGAAACGTTAGTACGTTTCTTCAAAGTAAATTCCAAAAGAACCCACCCCCACACACTTACCCAATATCCCAAATAATTCAAGAAGCTGAAGTCTACAAAAAAGAATAAAGAGAAACGTTAGAAAAATAAATAAATAAATAAAAACAAAAAAGAAACAAAATCCCCTCCTCCTAACTTACCTTCAAGCCGAAATCCAGTTCCAGGAAGGTGTTCCCTTAGAAAAACGAACGTCCTAAGCCGTTTAAGCCAAATTCCGAAGGGGAAGACTGAAGGAGAATAAAAAATATTTTTTTTTTTAAAAAAAAAAATAAAAAAAAATAGGATTTGACCAGATTATCTGATCAATCCGGTCAATCCAGTCATCCATGTAATATCTGATCTAGGATTGCTTGCCAAAACTAGGGTTTCGCAAAATCACCTGAAGTTTCGGTTAGGATCCAATCATTTATTGATCATTGATAATCTAATAAAAATCAATACTTAAAAAAAAAAATATTTCATTTTTTATTTTTTTTTTGTAGGTCGGACTCCTATTTTTTGTAGAACGCCGGACCTTGGAGACCAGGACGAACTGTCAAACCAATAAAGGTAATGTGGGAGAAGGAGATCGGGGTTATGTGTTTTACTGTAATTAAGAAACGTTTTTAACGTTTCTTTCTTTTTTTTTGTAGAACTAGGACGCTGGACTCTTGGAAACGAATCCGGACTTAGAATGTGTGTAAGGAAAGAGGAAGGGTTAATATTAAAGAAATGTTTTTAACGTTTCTTTCTTAATTTTTTTTATAGAACTAGGACGTCAGACTCTTGGAAGCGAATCTGGACTTGGATAATGTAAGGAATGGGAAGAGGGGGAAATGTTTTTTTAATATTATGTAAAGAAACGTACTTACGTTTCTTTCTTTATTTTTTTGTAGGGCTAGGACGCCGGACTCTTGAAAACGAATCCGAACTTGGATAATATTAGGAATAGGGGAGGGGAATTGGTTTTTTGAATATTAAAGAAACGTACTAACGTTTCTTTCTTTGTTTTTTTGTAGGACTAGGACACCAGACTCTTAGAAGGCGTATTTACATTTGATGTAAGTTGGATGGGTGTAGTGTGTCATGTGTGTTAAATAAGAAACGTTTCTAACGTTTCTTTCTTCTTTTTGTAGGAAAGCCGGACGAAATTACGAACTGGACTTTTGAGTGAAGGTATTAATGGGAAAGAAATTTACTTCTCTTAGTAACGTTACTAACGTTACATTTTTTTTTTTATTGTAGGAACGCTGGACGAATTATACAAACTGGACTTTAGTGAAAGGTAAATGAGGAAGGGGGAGTTTCACGTTTATTTTTTTTCCTTAGTAATGTTACGCGAATTTTTGCGCATGTGATTTCCGATATTATATGGTGATCTGATAAAATTTGATA